GCTTTTACGTTTTGCGGACAGTTTTATTTCGCCGTTGAAGAGGTTTTCTTGGTCTTTTCTCCAGCGACGAACCATTGACTCACTGATGCCGTATTCCCTCGCGATCTCAGAGTTGTTCTCGACGGCTTCTGCTTCGGCGACTATTTTAAGTTTGAACGCTAGATTATATGATGTACGACGGGCTTTTGGCATGATAACGGATTGACAATGAACGACTATCGACACAGGATTGTTAAAGACAGGTCTCTGAACTCGGAATGTTCATATGATCAAGCCGTGAATTCAATTTGATTCATTTGATCAGATCACATTAAATTCAGCTTACTAACTGTGATTTGTTGTTATTCTTAGCCATTGTATTGAGTAGGTAACAATATTGATACAGTTGTTTCCCAAGAGGTAAGCCTAGCTTCGTTAAATATTGATGACACCTTGCTTTTCAAGCGAACTGCCCGTGCCGTTGGATAATAAACCGGTTCTTTCATTTCATTTTAACAGATTTTAAAAGCTAAAATGTGATTAAAATTTTTCATGAGCTCTTATACGTTTTAAGAACTGGGTCTCGGCTTATAGCGGAATGTTTTGTGTTTTTGTTTGAAGACGATCGTATTAAGTTTAAGAGTTAAAAGTTTAGGGTCTCGGCTTAAAGCCAGGCTCGGCTTTTAGCCAATAAAATACGGTAAGTAGTCTTCCAAAACTGGTGGCTGAACATCAAATATTCAGCTGTCAGGTTACCATATAAGCATGTCAGACAGTTCTGTAATATGGCACCTACAATGTACATTAATTCTACAGTACTCAAACCAATCTTTAAGTTTTTCTTGAAGTCAAGAAATTTAAAATAATTTATGACGTCCCCAAATAATCCATTCCACTGACATTCGCACTTTACTCATTGACTTATTGAACAACTCCATTTGTTGAGTGAGCCTTGCTGTGTTTCTGAATGGGGCTTGCAAATGTATCCTTAATAGATATGCTGGATCACCATATATGCAGAGGGGTACGCCCATTGGTGAAAATGAAGAAAACCTGATTCTGCCAACATAGCTGCATCATGCATCTAGCCTTCTGAAAAGAAAAATAACCATGCAAAGGTGAAATGTCACACAGGTCACATGTTCTAAAACATAACACCTGATAATCATAATTGCCTTGAAAGGACCCTAATGGGCTACATTCTCTGAGGGTACATGTACACTCGATCACGACAGGAGGTCAATTTTTTATTCATATATTTTCATCCTTCAGGGTCAAAATTCAAATTCTTGTTGCACTTCATTCTGAATTCCGAATTCACATCACTACATGACAATTGCATTCATAAAATAACCCTGTTAAAGTATTTTAATCAAAAACAAGCCATCGTCTACGTTTTTTAATTAAAAGTGCATGTTTCGATTTCACAAAAAAGTTTTCCCGTATTAAAAAAAGTTTTCCCGTATTAAAAAAAGTAAACAATTTCAAAAATATTCTCTCCGATAGTTTTTACAAGTTTCTAATGAAATATAAATGCATGCAATTTTTTTCTAGAATTTAAAATGTCTTTACACATTCTGCAATCGCGTACGTCGCTATACCTTAATTCTGAATTTAGTAAATGCGTTTTGAATTGAATAAACGCGTTTTGAATAGCTGTTATTACGTCTGAGCCAGCGATTCAGCAGTCATCACACGGGAACGAGGCTATTGGATCAAGAAATGTTTCAAGAACTAAATCATAGGAAAGATATGGAAACCCACGAGGAATCACAGCCGAAATATGCTTTTTTTTCGGCTGAAGAGAAACTACAGTTGTTGAATGGTAATTGTCCCCGAAACATTACTAAACAGGTCTTAAGATCATGGTTGTCCTATCGAGTAGGAACCTCAAAAAACGGGAGTGCTTCTGCGGATGGAAACAAACGAGAACTGGTTCAAAGGTACGTAAAAATAATTAAAATATCATTGATATTTTGAGGATAGTTTTAGACGGTAATTAAAACCATCTTTGTTTTTCAGGGTCGTAAGCTATATTAAGAATGGCTGGGACGCGAATTTTACTGAAAAATGGATGCATCTGTCAGGAGAATCGAACGAGAACTTAAAGGAAAATTCGGCAAATGCTAACGAGGAGCCAACAGGGAAAGATATACAAAATTTCCTGCCTTCAACAACGTGGACCGAATTGAAAAAATGCAACAAACTGCCAGAGTTTTCTATTGCAAATATGATGAGCTACTTTATTACTAGGCGTGCAAGAGACGATGAAAGTAATAAAGACTATAAAAGCTTAAACTGCAAAGCTTTTGGTCTTTTCAGACATGGTCACGTCCAGAATATTAAGGTTGCGAATGAGGATGGCAAGTATTTTATCCAATGCGAATGCTTACCTGAGATGAAAAAAACTCTAAAATATAAGATCCAAATGACAGTAGACAGTTCTGGTGATATAATATATGGAAACTGTAATCCTTGTCCAGCTGGTAAGCCACCACTTGCATCATGTAAAACATACATACATACATACATGCATA